ATGGTGTTTTACATGAGGGAACCTAACGTTTCTGCCAGCTCAAATTCGGAACACTTTGGGTTTTCCAGACGATCGTGCACAAATACTTTTCTCCTACACTGACAAAAGTTTTCGCATAGTTTCTATTAGGAACGCACATCATATTTTTACAATAACAAATATGTAAGTAATAATAGGTTCATGTGATTTAGTGGTTCCATTTCACATTTATGGGATCACATGAAAATTATGTGTAATTCACTTGGTTATTTTCCACTTTTATAATTCGAAATATCCGAAGTCTATTATTTCGGAAATTTTTGACCATATCGTAAATAACTTTTTTAAACACACCGTCGTTTATTGGCAATATGGTTGAAAATTTTAAAACTATAAACGTCGGAAATTTTGAATTTTAAATGTGCTAATTTGTTGGCTATTTTCAACCAACCCGTCAATTTTCGGCAAGCGCTTCCAATAATTTGATATTACGTACACGCAAAATAGAGCATATTTGTAATTCTGTGCCAAAATTTCAGCTCAATTGATCGTAACAAAACATGCCAAAGTTGGCTAGTTTGTATGAAAATCGGCCTATTGTGCTAATTTAAACGCCACCACTGTATGTTCTACACCGGTAATAAATTTGGTATAAAGATTGAAGAAATGGAAAAAAAGAGAAATTTAAGAAAAGGTCAAAAACTTGCGCATTTACCCTATGCATCAAAGATCTTGTTGAGGAAAAAAGAAGAACTTTGGTACGTCAGGACTCATCTACAGCGCCAAGACTTGGACCCTGACTGCAATTCGTCTTATGGAAACGTCCTTGCCGCAAAACAAGTTGCTCCTCTATAGCGCTCCAACCATGTTACATGTAGAAGATGCAAGCAGGGAGAATCACCACATTCACGTTGCGGTTGGTAATGGTATAGTATCGAACCCACTTGTTGCTATGTTTACACTTGCGCTTCAAGTAGGAGATGTAGATGTATAAATATCGAACGCCGACAACGATGTTAATGATGACGCTCGGAAATAAATTTACTTTGCTAATACAAAATATGAATGTGGTCAGCAGGTAGTACTTAGTAGTTGCAGCCCGCAACGATTCAGAGCTTGATTGGATTTTGGAAACTATTTTAGGATGTACGTAATCTAATAGCCATAACATTTTTATCAGCCATCGCATTTCGAACCAACCTACATATCATTTTTGGAATCTGCTACGCTTGAGGCTTACTGCAAGCGTACCGGATCGTGAATGAATTCGACAGTGCCAAGTGTTCTAGACGCCTACGTGCGGATATTCGTGCCATGTACAAACCGTGTGCTCGTTGCACTAAGGATCGTGACCATTTTTGCAGTTTGCGTAGGGGTTTACAAACTCACTTAGATTGCACGTTCGTGATTTGGAATTAAATTTGCATCGCTTGCACAAATTGGTCAATTTCGAGATTGAAATACCGACCTGCATCAACAATATCATAAAACGAAGAATCATTCTGCTTTCGAATATGAAAGCTGATGCAGATGTTTTTTAACAGACACATGTGAAGCAAACGAAAACGACTGCTTCGAGAACTCCCATGAATGGAGCTTCCTTTATGACTAACAGTGCTGTGCAAAATGGTATAGATAGAAAGATCCATTACAAACACAGTCACAGTTTAGTGGGTCGTCTTGCAAAAATTCTTCCCGGTTCGGTAGTACAGCGTCGTCGTCGAGGATTGTCTGTTACTGTCACTTCGGCATATGTTAACTCAGGCACTTCAGACTTAAGGCTGAAAGTGTGCGCCGTTGATGGGCGTGTGGTTGGCGGTTGGGGATGTTTTGTTTACCCACTAACCGCCTAAGTCTACACGGGTTGGAAACTGCATTTATGGTGGTCAGTGCGATAGTGTGAATGGCTGTTTAACGAGCTAACACGATGGGTTATCACAATGCAGGTGGATAGTAGCACCTACCGTTGATAAATTAGTTTTATTAAAATAATCATTATTCAATGAATCCTGATGAATGTGGGCGTCTTAGTGGAATACCTGTATAATGAGAGAGGAAGGATTAGTATTTTCCATTTAATTCCACTACTTTATTTGCTTATCCTTGACAAATACGCGTATTTCGTCTACAATGTGCAGACTTCCTCAGTGTCTTGTACTAATACTCGATACCAATACCAGTCGAGTATTAGTACAAGACACTGAAGAAGTCTGCACATTGTAGACGAAATACGCGTATCTGTCAAGGATAAGCAAATAAAGTAGTGAAATTAAATGGAAAATACTAATCCTTCTGTCTCTCATTATTCAATGTCAAATGTCAGACTGATGTAAACTTTGAAGTTTCGCTCCACAGGGTTTTAGGATTTATATGGAAAATTACTATGTTCAAACCTTTTGAAGTTTATGCGGTGATAACAATTGAAAAACCTACTTTTTATTAGCTTTCTTTTCATCTTTGACATTTGTTTACATTACATACATATACTGATATTATATTTTCACGTTAGTGTCACTTAAAAGATTGTGTGGACCAAATCAAACCAAGTGACCAAACTGTTCGATTTTGAGTTTTTTATTCATGTACTTCTAACTTATCACCATATTGCTCTCAGGAAATGTTTTAAACTGAAATTTGAACTCATTTGATTAGAAGCTGGCTTTACAGATAACATTTGAGGATTATGTGCCAACTTATTTTCAAAAGTTACTTTTTGGAAAGAAACAATTGACGGCAACCGGAACCTACGGAACTACGGAAAAACCAAATAATTTCAAACGACAGACGCATAAATTTAAATTTAATTTTTTGTGTGTATCTTCACCTGATTAGTAGATTTCAACGATTTTTACACCTTAGCGAAAATCGCATTTAAAAAAAAATGCATTAGTTAATAAAATATAAGCATTTTAAAAATTCAGTCCCAAACCTCATAGTGAAAATTTTTGAAATCATCATCATGTCGATTGTTCTTATGTTCGCCACGAGTGCCAACTTTTACTCGTGAATTGTAAACTTCAAACAAACATTGACAGCATCCACAATCGAAATATGTTCGGTACCTATTCCTTTCAAACTATGAATGGGTCTTTTATAGTTGGTTAACGAGAATAAAATGCAAATATTTAGTCAGGCGCTGACACTTCTCAACGCAAACATCACCACAGCACAGCATCCCCTGCTGTATATGAATACAGTGGTTGACATTATGCGTGAAACGCAAATGAGCATTCAAAGTGATAAGATCTCGTGGCTCATAAAGCTACCGTTCTGTACGCATGGCAAGTAAAAACAATATAAACCATTGTTATACAAACTTTTCCGGTCGGACCAGAGACCCGTTAGTTTTCCGTATCACATCATGAGAATTGCGTGCCAGCGTACTATTAGGATAGTTTTCACAGCAATGGCATTAATGGATGAGTCAAGTTTGCCCATATTAATGGGATGCGATAGACGTCACTAATGGGTTCGCTAAAATCGTCAAATACAAAGCGAGTTTGGAGTGATAATTGGCTGAACAAAGAAGTGAGTTCAATTATCGAGTTTATTTTTATGATTTGATTGTTCAGTTCAGTTTGGGCCTCCTGTTAACATAATTAGTACGAAGAAAGCGGCGACTTCTATTACCGGTCCTTCAACAATTTTTTTTCGGGACGAAATATTTCTCGGAAAAAAAAAGTATCATACGTATGCAGAAATGGTATTTTCAATAAATAAGTGTAGAAATGCTCGAAGAACGCGTTACACGATGAGAGCGTAACGTTCCAGTTGGGACGTCACAACAAAGAACAAGATAACAATCAGTAGAAACCTTACCTTAGTTTACGGTAAAGACCAATTTTTATCGAACACCCATAAATTGATTCAATTCGCTATGCAACAGACCAACATCAAGAAATTACAATTGATGGGCCGTTATCGAACGCCACCCAAATCAAACAAATCAACGATAAGAAGACGAACACCCTTCATGCACTGCGGATTCACGGTTTCGCAATATCGATTCAATTCCGATCCGTTCTTGGTTTACCTTTTTTAATATACGTTTCAATGAGCTAAGCTTTCTAGAGATGTTTCTTCAAAAATAGTGGTCTTTCCTTAACCCATATTCAATTTATCTAGGGAGGTATTTGTTAAAACAAGGAAGCTTCCGCCCACTTCACTATAAAACATGTTTTTTTTTTTGAATTTTGAATTTATTAGATGTAATAATAATATTTAGTACATGTAAGTTCCAAGAAGAGGTTGTGAGGTATGTGCTTGACACAAAAAAAAACCTGTCAATGTAGCTCTGAGAGACTTAGAATCATTGATTTTACGATTCGTTAGCGCTCACGAATCATAAAATTGCTGATTTTGACTCTTTGAAAGCGAAATCAAAAGGTTTTATGTGTCAACCATATACTTCGTATCTTCTTCTTCTAACTTACAAGTACACAATATCATTATTACATCTAATGATTTTATAATTCCGAAAAACAATTTTTATAGCGAAGTGAGTGGATGCAACCCTGATCAAAACTTAATCTTTGTGAACATTGTCAGTATTAGTTGTAAATATTGAAAAAGTCTGCACATTTAATTCTAAATCCGCTTTATGCGCTCTCTCTTCATTAGAACCTAATATAAAAGTTCAAATATAGGGGAAATGGATGTAATGTCGACCTAAATGCCCCTAATTTGGGCCCATACATAAATTCAGCAATCGAGTAAATTTTCAATAGTGACCAAAAATATCCATTAGTACCGTTCCAATGACGCGTTCGTCTAGATAAAATTGATAAATAGCAGATTTTTAGCGATGGGCCCAATCTTAGATCCATAGGCCAGCATTAGAGCCATTTCCCCTATATATGTTTAATATTCGAATGTTATTTTACAAGCTGTTTTTATTTATTCCATGGGTACAAAGATGACTTTGTCTTACATTTATCATAGAATCACGATAAATCAAGATTCTTATGTACAAAATATGGAGCAAAGGAAAGTTCATGGTATGTTATAGTAGATTTACTTACTCGGATTAATCAATCTGCCTTCGAATATTGAACTGAAGCTCGATTGCCAATTTTTTCCGTTTACCGAAACACTTACGCAGGCAGTTCAAGTATAGGGGATAAATCACACAACCTTCCACGTTTTAGTCACTGATCCTCAGCGGCCTCTGCACGGTTTCGTTTGCTGAAAAAATTACACACACGACTTGCTGTGTCTCGATTGGTTCAGTAAACTGGGTTTACTCTTCCTTCCCTTTTTCACCACCAACCCATGAAGCTTGACGATGATAAAAACAACATTATTCGAATACGAACGATTTTAACAAAAAACAAAACTAACACCACACTCTCTTCGATGTGATCATCTGCTCATAAAAACAATGGAAAACGAAAATATAAACAATAAAGCGCCACACACCAAACAAGCCACAAATCCAAGTGTTTCGCAGATTTGATATATTTGAGTCTTATGACTGAAACGATTTTCACGACCGCACCAAGATCTGAGAAAATCCTTGTTACTTTCTGACGCTTTCTTGAATTTATTTTTATCGACCTTAGCACTATCGTCAAGCGCCGAAAGTAAAACTCTGTCACACACTGCCGAAACTCGGTCAACTCCCGCCGAAAGATTTGTTTTCAGCAGCCGGCGTTTAATCGAAACAAAAAATGAATAACGTAGCACCGGCTTGTCTCGTGTCACTTGAGAAAAATCCAGAAATATCCTAGAGACCTCAGTTCGATTCTATACTGAGCACACCGAGTGTAAGTTCTGCTGAACGACGATACCAGTAATAAATCCACCAACGCTAGAACCAACTGCGATGAGACACCAGCAAGTGAGCGAGCGAACACACCGAGAGCGACCAAATTCACTCTTGCCACGACAGCGATTAAATATAAACTGAAAGATTTTCAATGGACTTCATGCCGCTAGAGCTATACTCTTTCCGAACCGTAACGTTCGCGTACACATAATAAACTCTGCCCCTGCTTGCCGTGTGTTTTCGAATCGAAGCACCCAAAAGTAACAGGGAGCGAGCGGCTTCATTCGAAGCTTCTCCCATAGCAGCATGGCAAGTAAGTACGGACCTATGCACAACCATGTAGAAGCCCACGTACCTACCTACCTACCTATAGGATGTGAGAAGCTGTTGCTTCCCATCTATATAGCAGGCCCATCAACGGATTCGCATGGAAACGAGAGCGCGCGCTTTTAGAGAGTCATCATCATCTAGCCATCATCGCACACAATCATAAGGCAATCATTTTCAGCAAAGCCGGCGCGAAACTAAAACCACTAGATCCACGGTTTTTCCCTGTATAGAACGAGCGAAACGTTTCTTGCTGAGAGATTACCGGATCGAGTTGATCTGTTGGTGTTGAAGGTTCTCTGTGAAGTTGACTCTCGCTTCAGTGGGAGTAGTAATGTCTCGAGCTGTAAGATACTGTAAATGATTCGCTTATATTTCGAGCAATTTGATTGCAATAGACTTTTCCACCGTAGAGTGCGCCAGGCGAGTTCGAGAGTTCACAACGCAAATTGAAGCATTTTTCATTGAACATCTTGCTATTTCTATCGGTAATTGTCTTATTTTATGATTTTCCATAGATCTGAACTGATTTGTAGCTCAACTCCTACTCCTACGCTATAAGGAGAATGCAGCACACCAGAGCATCGCGTCAGATGGGAAACTTTGCCCTGGTACGCCCGCGAACAGAGTTTGGACGTAAGAGAATTACGTACCTAGGTAGCAAGTTGTACAACGATTTACCATCAACCTTGAAAAATCTACATCGAATTGATGTGTTCAAAAAGGATTTGAGAGCACACTTCAAGCGGAAAATCACACAATATATTTTTTGAAAATGTTCCTTTTATTTTTGGCATTTATTTCTGGTCGCACCTGTATGATATGGAGTTGATTCTTCTGTGGAGCAAGATTTAAAGTTTTCATAATCATCGATCGACGACACCCGTTCATAATAACAATCATCAAATCAACGTTTTGGCTGAACCCTGGTACTTAGAACCACCAACCATATAAATTAAAGTTTAAACTTAGTATCCACTTGTATGTGTTAGAATAAGTTTATTGTTTGAAAGTAGGCATCCCCTTTAAAGAGCCTTTGCTCACTGGGAGATGTATCATAAGCTAACCGATTAATGAGAACCACAGAGCCTAACCCCATCGGCATACAGAGAGCCCGGGGTAGGTGAAAGTTTCCAGCTTTCTTAGTTGGAAGTGCGAAAAAAAAATCTATATATATAAAAAAAAACTCTGGAGTGCATTTTGAAAAGATAGTATGTAACAAACGTAAACAAATTGACACTACCCGAGCAAAGTCGGTTAACAAAATGAAAGCAAATCGATATTAAAGTGTGCAGTTCCTATCATAATGAAAACTCATTTTAATTTCAAATGTTGCGACATAAGTCTGATATCATATTGTGCTTTCATTATGCAGTCAAGACGTTTTAAATGAAAGCAACTTAACTTGAAGTTCTGCTGTTTACGTCTTGTTTAAAATTTAATTGAAATTCATCTGTCGTTGAACTAATGATTATCGTTTATCTGATTTGTTTGACACATTTTAGGTCATTCGTGACTTGCCCGCGGTGAGATTGGAGCCTAAGTCTTTCAGCTTGAGAAACATGAATGGTAGGCCCGTATTCAGTTAAACATTATGAATGCAAAATCAGTAATCAAATTGATTTCATTGAAAGCAGGATTAGTTTTCCGTTTGCTTCAACAGTGTAAAATTTTGCTCTCATTTTTGCTGTGTTAACCGTTAAGTCAACCAAAATGAGATCAACTGGAGTATTCAAAATAAGTTACATCATAACAGCAAATTTTGATTTCAATTTGATGTTCAGCTTTGCTCGGGTACTCTGCTTACTCTTCCTAAAGGCAAAAACTGATCAACACATAGCTCAATGTTACATACGACACTTAAATTCTATGGGGATGTCAATCGTCGTATGTAACAAATTTTACAGAAGCGCGTAAAAACTGTCCATACGACCTGCTCTTTTTTCCTAATAATCTTCAATGTATTACGGTTGTGGGTGGTATATAAAATGTTAACTACGCTTTCCGTGAGGTATTACTCATAATAATACATTTTTAAACCACTAAAATGCACACGGTCGAATGTAACACCACAGCATGCAACAAGTCGTATAATATTGCTTGGTTGAAAAAGGTTTAGTTTTTAATAGGAACGCAATCAGTACTTCAACTACAATATTCCTGAACACCAGTAGGATCCTTGCGAAACGATACCGAATTACATTTTTTTCAACTATGGATCAAGCTTCTCAGATGAATCAATGTATTAGGAAAAGTGAAAAAGTGTTCCGTTTTCCAAGTCTCACGGCAAAACATTCAGCTTACAACACTCTTTTTGAGGTTCTCCTATTAACCAGCAGAGGTTAAATTGATCGCTTAGTTTCTATTCAAAACGCGCATAATTAGATAAAATCAACAAATTGCGCCCCAAATTTTAAAGATTTAGATTTATTTATATCGTTTTTCGCAAACGAAATTCAATACAGGGACTTATGTTCATCAAATCTCTGTTACACATAACCGAGTTCTATAGGCCAAATAAATTACCATTTGGCGATCACCATGTAAACTATCAACAAGATGCGGAATTAAAAAAAATACGATGGTGAGGCATAGGACAGAAACATTACAATGCTTATATTCTATAAACAAAATGTTACTACGGGAGATACATATGAGGCCTCAAATAGTCTATACTCCCAAGTAACACAAATGCATAGAATTAAATTGAGTAAACTGTTATAAAACCAAAACCAGTCATACAAAGGTTATATAACTGTTATATAACTGTTATATAACTTGTTTTCGCTGCAAAGTGACGTTCATCGAACATAAATTCTCAAAATTAAATTCATGTTTCCTGACATTTTTTTTTCATTAACCCTATCATAATTATCGATTGATATCAAATAGCGGTGAAAATTTACCCTTTTAAAAGCCCTGAACAGAAAATAGCTTCTCTTGGACCATTTTGATTTCGGTGTTTACGTCACATTACTGTTACATGGCAGTATAGCCAGTTAAGGGCCCGGTATTGCTATTCCGGATGACCGATTCTATGAGTGCATTTGTTCAATTTTTTTATTCTTTGGACCGAACATCAGTATTTTGATTTGGGGCTACTTTGATAATGCTGATAATTAATGTAGGAAACATGCGTGAAATTAAAACAATTTAGTTCATGAAATATGAAACTTTGAATGAGTATATTATCAGAAATCATCGTAAGAAATAAGAAACAACATTGAATTCATGATGACTGTATGGGAAACACGTTTCATAAGTAATTGTTTGAAAATTGTTTCGAAAATATGTAAGACATACTATATAGAAACCTATAGGGCAATACCCTATGCTACAATATGGAACCAATGTTTCCTTTTCGGAAACGATGCGGAGAGTAATTTTTTCTACTATCAAATTTGCCCGTCAAGGCTAACTCGTTTTACGGTATCTGTAAAAAAAAGTACAAGTATTTGGTAGAATCAGAGGTGAAATCAGAAATGCTAATCATTTGTTTGACCGATTATGTAAATTAAGATATCCTTAAATATGAATGCAGCCAAGTTATTAACGAAAGAGAAAACCAATGATGAGAAGCGAACAATGTAGATTTATCGATTTGAAAAGTGACCCAGGAAATGTCATTGCAAATTTACTATTTTCCGACTTTTGTAAATACATAAGAAACACCGAGGAACTGTAAAAACACTGAAGTTCAGTAATATTACCTCCATTTGCGTGAGAAGAGTTTGTGACAAGAGTGGAAACTGTATGTGCGAATTCGTAAAAATAAAAACAAGTTTGTTTTAAATAACCATATTATATGCGAACTGATTCAGATCCATATTGAGCATCCCCTGTAACTCGGGTCAAATCGCAATTCAGGAGAGAAAAAAATATCTCTGGATTTGTGCAAAATCTTCGGCTACGTCTCCCAATATGTCTGTCCCGTTTTGCAGTATTCATTTTCTATAGAAGGTAGTGATGATCTTTTTCAAAACCTTCTCGAATACTTCGCAGTCAACCAGTCACAATATCTCCCATGAAAGCTGAAATACACCTTACATCTCTGATAATAGAATCGGTTGATTAACAATACATAGTCACAGCATGTTTCATCATCTTTGTCCACGCGAAAAAGTTCATTGTCCTGATTTGCGAATTCAGCAGCATTTTTTGAATGGAATGCAACGGGGGTGGGTGGAAGGAGAGTTTCCTCACCCACGAATTGTCTTCTCGTCTTGTGTGTGCCATTGGACTAGCCCAAATCCTCAAAGAAAGAGGAAACATTCACATACGATGAAAAAATGTGTTTACAACCAACTGAAGGAGAGCTTCATATTTGCAGTAGCAGACGTATTTCATCAAGTTGCTTTTCAGTTGATGGAAGGGTCGATTTAATTCCAGGGCATTGAAGAAGTCAAGTACATATAAGGGTAAACGAAATCACTTACGTTGTGCGGATATTTCGGAACTTTTGAAAAGGACCAGCTATTTTCGCTAATCATATGAGGCAGCATTGAACATTAAACTCACATCAATAACTTGCCCATAATCAAGCTTAATGATTGAGGAGCGTCTGTAATCTGTCAGAAAAAGTCAAAAGTATTTAGAAATTTAAAATGAATATAGAAGCTAGGAAGTTTATGTTTGAAAGTCAGTAAAATTAAGTACATATAAGAAAAACATCAGTAAACTTAATATAATTAATTATAATCAGACAAAGGTAACTCAAAGCCTGAGGGAGAATCATTTATATCTTAAACGGTCGCATAGAGATTAACTCAGAATTAAGTCGAAATGGGTTTAAGATTGCAAAAAGTGGGGTTACTCAGTGAAT